TTTCTTTTCTCAATTTTGTCAATTTTATGACTGTCTATCGTTCGCCAAGAAACCAATTATTAGAATATTTCGGCTCTGTGCACTAATTACCCTGTGTTTTTTTTTGATTTTTGTACAAACATTTCAGTTTTTGTTTGTACTAGGCCGTAGCGGAAATTTGCACGTTTTGCACCATAATGTTGATAGCTAAGGTCATGACAACTAAGGTCATACTCAACTGATCACTATTTGACTTTCAAATAGAAAAACCAAATGAATGTGTCGCGTGGAATATAGATTTTCTACTTTACCCTATCCAAAAAAAATTTGGAAAAAATTAGTCGTAAGATATCTCAGCGGACCCCGACGCACAAAGTGCGCGTCCCGTAGCTATCCTAGCCATGCCGAGATTGAGCTGGACACTCTTGCTACCTGGCCACTTAAAGGGAGCGTGTAGTGCGTACGACATCCCAACTTACGTGACCAGCTTGGATCCTATAGGGCACCACTCCTATTCAATCCCACTCGTTGGCCCATGATCATCATAGATAACCAACAGGGATAACTTAAGAGGTCTCTGGCTTAGACCGAGTTCTTTGGCTTAGACAGATGAGCACAGTTCATGCACTACTTAGGCAGCAATCTCGTATCGCCAGCTTTCTTTCCCCTGCTAACAGACAATTAGGAAAAATCGATAACCCACTGTCAGCATTCCGGTACATACTCACCGGCAACTGAAGACCCTTTAACAATCGCCGTTAACTATAGAATATAGCTACCGCTTTGAGGGAAGAGTGTCCCTAAAACTTCTTTAAACAGAAGGTTTTTACACGACTATGCAAGCATAAACCTTCGCCAAACACGAAGCCGTACAAAGTGTCGATAGAAGTACGGGAAACCTGCCACTGTTTAGACCAATGGCAGGAGGGGCACACGCAATACAAAGATGTCGGGTATCCCCCAAGGCTCATATTTGCCGAAGCAACGCTCCCCAAGGTTCGCACCTACGTCTCTAAGCGCTGGCCAATGCGGCATGTGACGTTTGCAGACCGGGGTAGATCCGATTACTGCGGACCACACCGCAAAGGACTACACCACTCGAGGCGTAGTCACACAAAAGCATCTAGTGGTATTAATTTTGGCACCAATTAGAAGCCAACATTAAAATTTGGCTTATACAAGTCCTACTTTTTTATTACCGACTTTATTTTGATTTTGAACTTTTTTGTGTTAGAAAAAAATTTCAGTTAAAAATCATAATTTGTTGTGCGCTGTGTACTTTCGAAAAGTCAATTCCTATGCAAAAATCTCACAAGACTTGAGTTACGATATAAGTTTCAAGTTAGCTTCAAAACATATGGCTGCTTCAAAAACTTGATACTGAAAAATGAAATTAGACTCAACTCGAGTTCCGTGACAGAAACACCAAATTGAAAACTATGCGATAATCATCAGGCCGCAATTTTACGTTGATTTACACTCAAAACAGCAAAAATAAAGGAAAAAGAAGCAAAAGGTTGATTTATGCGTTTATACAAAAAAACTGATTGTTTTTTGTCCAACAATAATAAATTAAAACAAATTTATTTTCAACCAAAAAAATATTTTTCAATGTCTGGTCTGGTTGGTTGCACCGAAAGCATATTTTCGCCGGGAAAAAGTTTTCCGAATTGAAATTAAGCAAAACATTTGGTTCAAAAAACATTCTCAAAATTGATCAAAAGATTAGAACCGGAATAATTAGATAGAATTTCATAAAAAAGACTCAAATAAAAGAGGACTGAAGTCAATCACACATACCTACACATAATATTTATCAATTGATTGATGCTTACACCTACACCTCAATTTCTCGGCGAGTTGTTTTATCAAAAGGTTATTGTCGTGTGCGCAGTCAGTACAAGGTCTTTTTTATAATTTATCACAGCCATTTCCCAGATCAGACATTGAAAAGCACAAATTCACAAAAGATTTTAAAATTAGAGCAGCCGTAGCAGTTGAGTCAACTCGACAAACAATTTTTTCCGTTCACAGAGACATAAACAGAGAAACTGCAGCAGTGATACGAAACTATTCATCCAATCAGTGAACCTTCAACAAAGTCAAGCGAGAGTGATGGCCAAAAAATGCCAAAACCAAATTGCATAAAAGATTTTGAAGTTCCAGAGATGATGGGAACGACTCACAGTGGCAAACAAATTGTTCGTTTTGACTCTGAACCAGATTATACTGAGCGAAGTATGGTTTCTACCATTTTTCTATGACTGAATTTTCCTAGTGGTGCTGATGTTTGGTTTGGCGACGGCATTTTTTCAAGAGCCCCGAATGTCTTTTTTTAAACAAACACAATATTCGCATCAATTGAAGAAGTTCCCGTCCCTATTGCCTGTGCATCACTTTCAGATAAGAATGAAAAAAACTGATTTTGAACTTTGAACGGTTTCGAAATGGAGTGTTCCATAGGAGTAACCATTGATTTCAAAATGACGGTCAAAAATGCAATTACCTCTCAATCCAAAAATTTAAAAAACCAATTTGCTACTTCCGTATGTGACAAAGCGTCTGGCAGTACGCTCAATCTACTGGAAATACAAATAAAAATAGACTTGGCTAGATTTTCATGGGCGTATCCGAATGATACTTATTAGAGCTTACTTGCCCCTGAGTGAAGTTTCCACTGCTTTTGAAAACCTCCAGAAGACATCCTCTTTGAAGACTTTACCGATCTTCAACTATTCTGAAGACAATTACTTTGATCGAATTTTTTGCGGGGCGGCAAACAGAGCGTGTCAAAAACCCATATTTGACTTTGACAGTTGGAGTTTCCATCATTTTGTCCCAACGGGGCATCCGATTACCATAAAACAATGCAGTTGAAAGCTGGAATAGCGTTTTTTTTTTAAAATTCATTAACGAAAACACCCTTCGTTTCCCAAGATCATCAAAAAGTTGGAAGATGAACAAAAAAACGCTGAAACCCTGAAAAAAGTGTGCCGGGCAAACACAGTCTCATTTTAAAAAATTGAAATATAATAAACTAACAAAGTTTTTTCCGAGTAAATTGCAGCTGTCGAGCCGAGTAATCTTCTCAGTTTCCTAAGGAGGTGCAGCAGCAATATTAAATTCTGCCAAAAATTCATTTAAATATCCAATTGTCTGCAGTTTATGTCGCAAACCAATGTTTCAATAAAATTTTTCAAGTTGAAATTTTTAAAGAAAACTTCGAATTTGATCTATACCCCTTTTTGAAAACGGCAAAATGATCATGTTTCCCCATCTTTTTCCTTTCTGACCCAGCTGAGTCATTTCATATCAAATTTGGCTTCTTTTATCCAATTTTGGGTTTTTTGTTTTGAAATTTCAATCAAATTAAGAAACTTTTTTTCCGACCCGAATTGTGTTTGCCAACTTATTGATCTTAAAACTAATCGTTTCACAGCTTGGCCAAACGCGCTGTGAAGGTTCATTTAATTGCTTTTTGAAATTCGGTCTCGCTTTGACTGTTTTATGATTATTTTCTCCACATATAATGTAATAAAAGAACAATCAAACGGACTCAAATCATCAAAGCATTAAAGATTACAAGGTCGAACCAAAGAAAACACTTTCAGACATTTTTGTCTGGGACACAAAAGTCTGGTACAGTTTTATAGTTTGTGACAGTCGTGTCATGGACTCAAATGGCTGGGACAAATGTCTATGAACCATTTTTCGCTTCTTGTTAATTATTCGTCCAAAGACTTAAAGTAAAGTTAGAGTCGCTATGAAATGCAATAAAGTCCTTTCGAGACAATGTTTTTAAACCTAATCTAAATCTCTCAACAGAAATTAAAAGTACAGCTGATTGAGCAGAAATATTTGCCGAGAAAAATACTGCATTTCAAATTTATCTCGTTAAAAATGTTTATTGGCTTTACAGCATTGACAAAATATTTCAGTTTTTCGGGATATAGAAAATTGGTGAAACCTTTCTATCTGAAATGAAAGATCAGGGTTAATATCTGTCTTTGCCCGAGACTTTTTTTCAATCGATTACTAATCACAGAACTAGGCAAGTTTTGAGAGTTTAGCTCATCCGAAACCGTTCAATAACTTCTCTCAAAAGAAGTAACTGAATTCAAAATGATGCGCCAAGTTTTTTTAGGCACCCAGAAGTGAATAAGTCATCGAGATCAAAGACAAAAGAGAAGATCCATTTTGAAACCGTGTTTCACTTCAAATGGGTCACTCTTTAAAGATTGGAACCCAAAAGATCCGAATACGAATCAAAAGTATGGTTAAGTTTTCCTTAAATGCATCCGCTTCGGAGCAATTAGTTCACTTCACAAAGCACCGAAGGAAATGGTAATTAGCAGGTCAGCCTTCGGTTTCCTCCGAGTATAAAAAACGAACTAGATATCGACAAAAGATATTTTTTTAAAAAGGAAACATTGAAAAAAAAAGCATCGTCAAAGCATCATTATTTTTGGTGCTGATAGTTTGAACTTGTAATTGCAGTCAGATTTGAGACTAGAGGATGCCTATTTCCGGCTTCCCATTTCCTAGTACTGACATTTAGATGAGTATGTATCATAGTAGCAGAGGGCATACGTAGTGTTTTCAATCTCTTTATCTCCTTTGTCTGCTGTGAGCTTAAAAGTATCAAAAGGATATTGTTTACTGCAGTTGTAGCCCCAAACAAAGTACGCTTTTTATTATTTTGGCCATATATGGCCATATATGGCCATAAATTGTCTCTTTCCCTGAGTTAGTCATGACTGCAGCTCACTTTTTGGGGGTAAATTCCAATTTGTTTATTTTCCTCTCTTGTTGTTTAAAATTGTAAGACTGTAAGCTGCTTTTCAACCGCTTGTACCCGTGGGCTTAACTTTTCCTGCCGTCTGGCTGAGTTCACTTAGAGATTGGTTATCGCTAAACTGATTAATACCAATGCTATTATTAGGATAAACAAAACAACCCCCCGAATAACTAGAAGTAGTAAACAACGTGCCGCGAGACATAAATATGCAGATAGAGTTCGAATAAGTTAAAAGGATAATCTCGTTGGTCGAATAAACAGTCAAAATTAGATTTGTTTTTCCCAAAACATCTTTAGAACCAGTTTAATTTTATGTGGATTAGTTTCACAACTTAGTTTTATTTCAATACTTCAAAAACGTTGCAAACCAAATTTGTTCCGAAATCTTTATGTTTGATTCAAGACGTTACCTTAAAAAAGTGTTCGCTTGAAACTAGAAGTTTTTCATGATTCTGCAAACGAGAGCTAGTTTTATCGGCGGACCTGAAAACAAGATTAGAGATGCGAATTACACTATCAAGGTAATAATTCAAAAAAAAATCGGAAATTTTGTCAATCTTTTTTTAGGTCGACCAAAATGACTTTCTGAGCTCTCTCGAATCACTATAAGAACCCTATTTAAAAAAACAGGCAAATAATTTTTGAAAAAAAGGCATTTTTGCTGACTTTTTGGAAAAATTTGACCAAAAAATTGCTTTTTTTTCAGCGAGCGCTCCTCCCTCAAAATTAGGTTATATTCGCGCCATGGGCGCCCTGACAGTCATTCACAATCGGAGGTGTTAAAAGGGTAGCACAGGAGAAAGTATTTATTTCTGATGCATTTTCTGTTGTAAAAGTTTGAAGAAGTTGACATCTATTGTGATTGAGATTGCAAGAAAATGTCTAAAAAATAGTGTCCAAAAATAAAGTGCAAATAATTGAATTGTCGATACGAAGACTCAAAAAGTTGACATCTATTTTGACTGAGATTGAAAAAAATGTATAAAAAACAGTGTCTGAAAAATAAAGTGTAGAAAATTGAATTGTCGATACGAAGACTCATTTTTGGCAGACCAGAATATTTGGAATGCTTCGTATAAATTTGTGGCAGACGAGAATAATTCATTCATCGGTGCTGCAATTAAAAAAGGCGACGGTTGAGTCAAAATAAAACGAGCAGCCGAGTAATTACAGACAACCTAATTTTCATGCAAAACATCTCTATTTTAAAAATATATCTTTTACTTATTTAGAGTGATATGACACTTAATCTCATCTTCAGTGGGTTTCATTTTAGCATTTACTCAACTTTGAAAAGATAGTTTCTAATTAACTATTCAAAATTGTTCAAATCGATAAATTAAAGGTTACATTTGCATAGCAACCTTTCACATTGACAACTGTCAGATAATATTGTCTATTTGCGAGACCTATTTTCATCCTATTTCCATAATTCGGCTCCAGTTTTGCATTTCCGATTGGCATTTTTAAAACCCTGTTGGGGCCGTCAACTGTCTGTAACATTTAGAAACATTAAAAGCAACTCTATTTTGTCCCAAAATAAAAGAGTTACGAGATCTACAATTCTGTCATTTAAGCTATTATTAAGCTAGCACTTCAAAAAAGGCAAGTCTTTCTTTTTTCCCTCGTGAGAGGGCACGTGGTATGCTATCGATGTTTGATTGATTTGAAATATGGCCATTTAGGGCTGTTAGCGAAACAACTCTGCTTTTGATGAATACATCTCGCATTGACATTTGCAAAAATTGACCAATTATGTTTCCCTCCTTCAGTTGAATGGTGTAAATTGAAATTTTCTTCCTTTTTTTCATTCTTCTTTCACTTTTACCCTCTGACTTTTTGAGGGGCATTATAAATAATTAAAGGTAAGGAAAAGAGTGTGTCCTTACAAAGCCCAGTTGGCACAACGCTCGAACAACATAACTTTTTCCTTTCTAATTTTAATCCATTTTCAGAATCTGAATCCAAATTTTTGCTCAATTTTTGCTCGCACAATTTTTACTTCATTATTTTCTACAAAAAGGGCCAAAATTGTCAAAAAATTGCTTAATTTTATTTTTATTTTAAAAATTGATGAAGATATAAATTGATTCGGCTTGGCGAGCGCCATGCTAATGCTATACCATCTGCCTTTCCGGTTGGCTATTGTGAATTTCTTAGCGGCTATTTTTTCAACTAGTCTCGGAAAATTGAGACAGAATTTCAATGGAGATCGGTTACTACGCTAGAAGGGTGACGTCGCGTTAATTAAAAAGAGAATCTTGTGTCTGCCATTTTGAGTTTTTAAACGAATCAGATCTCGCTGACTTCCCAGAGAAAAAGACACACCATTTTCAGTCAATCAGTTGCAACGGTGCAATAGGGTAATTTATTATTTTATTTTCAACTTTTTTGTTCTCATCCGCAAAGGAGCGGAAAATTGAAGCTAATTCTTATGAGGTAAGTTTTCAATTGACGTCAAAGGAAAAGTTGACTTGCATAAACGCACAAAAAATAATAAGTCTAATTCCAAGAGGCGATATTAATTCAATATTATTTCGTTTCCGCTTGCTAATTATCAATTTCTGATGAGTTTAACTTCCTTACTATAATTTTCATAGTAAATAACTGAAGCTCAAGTAAGTTAGTCGCCTTTTTTTATTTTTAAGCTTCTTATACTTATACTATTAAGTTGAGATTTTAATAAACTCTCAAATCCTGAGGTAAACCTTCTTAGAAATCAAAATTTTATAAGCAAGTAGAACACTGGCGTTTCAACATTGAATCTCAATCTTACATATTTTGAGGACGCAATAAGTTTTTTGCAGCAGTAAACGATCAATCGATTTTTATTGTCAAAAAACACCAAAAAACCTTTTGCCTATTTTACGTGATTGTTTCACTATGAATGAATTTTTTTGTAATATAGTTTTTTTCTCTCAAACTAGCTTAATTAAAATGCTTTGAAGCAGCTTAACTGGGAAAGACAATTTCGAAACTGGGTTTGCAGTTATCAAATTAGCTGATCTGAAATTTTTCTGAAAAGGCTAGAAAAAGTGTTTAGTTGCCGTTTTGCTCGAATTGAAGCAATTTGACGCAATTTGTTCACAACTTAAGGAGATTCTCATTCATTGTCAATCAACACTTCACAACTCAGTTGGGAGAAAAAGTAAACATACTTCAGAAGGATATTCAAATTTTTTCACACCTCCGCTTAAAGAGTTCTTCAGTTTTCTTTTCACCTCCGGAAAACTAAAGTTGTTGATGTAATGCAAATGCACCATCCATATTGTTGATTGAAATAGTCTTACGCGTGAACAAAATCTTAAATCAGGTGTGAACTTCTTTTCTTCAGGTGATTAAGACCTAAATTTTGAATTCATTAGTGTTCAAGAACCCTTTAAAAGCAGTTTTGAAATTCAAAACAACAAATCTCATTAGATTTGATTAGAAACTCCAATAACCTGACAACTTTTCAAGCCATGAATTCTCCTAAACTTCAGCGAGTTTTATCAACCACCGCAGTTGCAGCTACAAGAGTTAGTTTTTTTAAGAAAAGTTTTGAAAATTTAAATTAAAACATTTTTTTTTCATTCTTAATGTCTAAAAGAAGTTTTTTTTTTAAAAAAAAATTGTCAATTGCTTATTATCAAAACTACTGAAACTGAAACTCGTTAAAATTTTGTTGTTATAATGTTTTGTTTTGTTTTAGAAAAGTTCGCTTGGTTTGAAGACATTGTCTCAAAGACAGACCACCTTCTGCTACACAGTGAATCCAAGCACAGTCAATCTTCAGGCAAAGCAGCCGACAAATAAGAAGTTGGCCGACAGTTTCAAGTGTTGTACGCACGCCATGTTTCCAACTTCTGCGCTAGACCACGCCCCCGTCAAGCTCCAAAGGGGGGCTCAAAATGTGCACCCCCTCGCAACCAGGTCTTCCTTGCTGCCCCAGGATCCAATGGTGGCTGAAAAAGAGGCAGCTAATCAACCAGAACAGTTTGTGACATTTGGACAGGTTGAGTTTTGCGAGACACCTGTGAAAACAAAAACCAGCCGACGTACCAGCCTCGGAGCTTTTATTCAGAAGATCAAGCAAAACGTAATTATCTTGACATAGCTAACATTATAAAATCAGCATCAAAATAGGAAAACTGATGAAAAACAAACAGAAACAATCATAAATTATTAAAAATATCACAACTTAGCAGAGAAATTTTTTTCTGGCGAAAAAGTGGAAAATATGAGAACGGACTTGCATTTTAATTATGACTAATTTTTTTCATATTGCAATTTATTAAACATTTCTTTTGTTGCTTCAGGACATTTTGAGTTCTCATGGATCATCTAAGCAGAAGTTGGATGTATGTTCGACCCCAAGTCAGTCGAGTGTGCAACTGGCGGCATCGGGCAAAGATCAAAGCGATTGCAACACCACGACGACCACCAAACTGCTTAAAAATAGCAGCAAGAAACATCATCAGGTGCTCAAGACTCAGAGAAGCAACTCCATGTCGATGAATAGAAACCGAAACATTTTCACCACTGGCAAAAACAGCGTCAAAAACAACTGTGACCGATTGAACAGTAATAAACAATGCAGCGTGAACGAGGATGATTCCACAACAGAACAAAACAACTACAACAACAACAACTGCAACAACACCTGTTCTCCAAGTGAGCAAGTGATTGCTGAAATGAAAAAAGGATTCCTGAACGTTCTTAGATCTCAAAGTGAGTTATTTATTCAATAAGGACATTTATTAGCTATTAATTTTTATATTTATTAGGTTTTTTTAAACTAAATTTCCGTATTGAGCTAAAACAATTTTACTTCCACAAAAAATATTGGAAGTAATTTTTAAATCAAATACCAACTATTATATTTTACTAGACATTCTTAGACTGATTTTGAGTTTAATTAGAAATAAATGAGCAAAGATTAAAATGCTTTTTTCTAACGAGTATTTTATTATGAGTGTTTTTTTTCATAGGTGCTCTCCCATTATTCCATCAATTCCTAGTCAAAGAATTCTCAGAGGAAAATCTCGAGTTCTGGATGAATGTGGAACAGTTCCGGGGAATGGAAGACCCAGTGGATAGAATGGAAAAAGCGGAAGAGATCTACGAGACATTTGTGTCAAATTGTGCCCACAAACAAGTGAACATGGATGCCAGATTACATTCGGACATCAAAAGCAAAATGGCCATTGCAACCACCAGTAACAACACCAGCTGCTCAAGGTAAAAACAACAGCATCAAGTTATCGCCTACCCCCTCCCCCACCCCCACCCTCATCCCCCTCTAAACAGATCGAGAAAACAGACAGCTTCAGTCCAAAAAAGTCTTCTTAAATACGAATCCGAGTTATTAAATTCGAAGACTTTTGTGCGTCTCTTGATTAGCGTGTCTAAACTTGTTTCTCTGTGTTACAGCACTCTCTTCAACAATGCTCAAGACGCAACCTTCAAATTGATGGAAAGAGACAGCTACAAGCGATTCCTGGAAAGTCTCCATTCTCAGAATCAGATCAGCTCCCAGAATCAAAGCAACGGGAAAAGATAATTGAGAAGAGCCAATTCCAACTGCGCTATTTGCTATAAACTGTATCGCAATAAATGCAATATCATTGGGTCAATTGCGGCAATAAGCCGATTAATGTGTCCATACTGATAATAGATTTAATTTTGTTTAGTTTACTTAAAGTTTTGTTTAGTTAAAGTCTATATTTGATAATAATTGATTCTTTCTCAAATATTTGGTTTTTAACAAACAGCAATGAAATTTCAACCAAAGTTTTTTACCAAAACGAATAAAAAAACATTTAAAAGGTTTTGCATATTGATTCGCAGATTCAAAAGATATTTAAAAATTGTTCCAGTGACCAGAAAAGTTAGTTTGAGTTTTTTTTCAGTTTTAGTCCATTTTTTTTTGCTTTTTTTCTCGTCATTTTTTGACAAAAACATTCGCTTGCTCTGCCTATTTTATTGCAGTTGTCAAATACTCCTTGAATTGCACAGTAACCGGCTATTCTTGTTTGTACATGTACTTTATGCTTCCATAATAAAATCTAATGGATTAGCCTTATGGATTAGCCCTTATGGATTAGCCCTTAATATAGTCTTATGGATTAGCCCTCCAATTGGAACCTAAACTGCAGTGACTCAGAATTAAAAGTATTTCTCTGACCCATGGAAAAAAATTTTCGGTCTAAAGCATCCGTCTGCAGCATAGACAATGCTTCCAATAAAATGTGTCAAAAAGCCATTCGTTTTTTCATGAGTTATATCAGAATACCACTTATTATGAATCTCTTCTGCTGAAAAATTATTAGATTCAGGGGCGGATCTAGGATTTTCTCGAGGGAGGCGGATTTTCAAAAAGTCCCGAAAATTTTGTCGACATGTTTGTTAGATCGACCAAATTGATTTTCCAAGCTCTCTCAAAGGACTACAAAAACTCTCTTTTGGCCAAAATTTCTGCGCCGTAGGCAAAATTTTGAAAAAACAGGCAGAAAAAAGCGTTTTAGGCACTTTTGGAAAACTTTTACCAAAAAAAAACACATTTTTTCGGCTCGTGCTCCCCCCTTACAATTAGTATAGATTGGCGCCGAAAAATTTTAGGGTCCGTTACCAGAAATGGATATCTCAAAATAGTACAAAGGGAAATCCCTAAATCCGCCCCTGATTAGATTCGTCTAATTTTTAAAAGTTTTATGTAGTAGAAACTAAAGCATGAATTGCAGTTTGAGTGAAATTGTGGCAATTATTCTCGGAAAACGAAAATTTTGTGACCTAAGTGTGGGCTGATATCAGAACCACTGACTCTCAATATTTTTAGAGCGATTCCAGAAGAGAAAAAACTTTAACTTCAGATATTTTTCAAAAAAAACTAAGTTTTTCGTGGCCCGCGAAAAGCGGGACTTTCAAATAAAGCGGGGACACTCAAGCTAACCAGAAACAGCTTGAAATCAGACAAAACGCTTTGGTTTAATAAATTGCTGTAAATCAGTCTCAATTATTACAAAACGTTCACAGTTTTTTAAATTTGGTTTTGAGAGCCACAGAGAAAATCGGGTTTCTGATTGTTAAAACGAGATTTGTATTTTTTTTGCTAGGGTGGGTTAAAAATCTGAAAAACAGCCTTGGGAAAACTATCAATGGCCTCATGAAAGTATGACAATGAATTTTAAGCATTTTTCAGGTGAAAGAGTACGTTTCCTATAAAAATTTTCAAGCTTTGTGGAGCTACTAGACCAAACCAAATGTCTGGATCCTTAATCTTCGTTTATCTGTTTTTTTGTTTCCGTATCGGTTAGCTCGTTTCTTTGATCAAAATCAAATTCTTTTTCAAATTATGTGCAGAATATTCGAAGTTCATCAAAAAAAATTTTCCCCTTTAAATGATGAACCTTTTTTTTCATTTTTGGTGAGTGGAGAAAGTACTCGTGTCGAGGTCAGAGACTTATAATCAGACTTTCAATGTGAACTTTCCTGTGTCACCATTCTGAAAATTAATAGTTTGAACTGGGTATCATAGAGGCGCACAACGTATGGACATAAAAGATTTTGGTCGCAATATTGTGGAAGCTAGTTTCGTTATTCTGGATTTTAGTCATGGTCACCAGCGGATTTAGGGAGGGGGGGGGGGGGGGTTGGGTTCGACCCCCTGACGACCCAAAGCCCCCCCCCCCCTTTGTGCTAATTTGAAAAAAAGATTTTTGGCTGACGGACTCTAAAGTTTTTCTAAGGCGCCTTGGGCGCTAATATTTTCTAATTTTGAGGAGAATTGTTAATTTTCAAATAATTGAATGTCGTAAAGAAATAAATTTCCAATAGTCTAGACGTAGCGGCGCCGGCCGCACAAGTTGCGCCGGTAGAATCTCGGACATGTTGTCGATGGCACCGATCACGAATTGAATTTGAGTCGCGACAGTCTTTAATTGCTAAACATTTGGTCGCAATAAATTATGTTATAAAACCACGACCTGCTCGGTCTAGACAAGAGTATGACGGCATTGACAATTTCCTCATTCGATCCAAAAAAGACATGAGAGAAAAAATGTGCAAGGTCTGGTCTTCCATCTAATCCAGTTCACAGTTGTGAACCCAATTCACCGTTTCTGTTCACTGTCTGAAGTTAGTGAGATTGAGCTGTGAAATAATTATTTGTTCATTTGTGACGTAAGTGAGTATGATAGTTCAACTATGGTAGCACAATTCTCCTAATATGTTAACTGCGAATTGTCTCAAGAAAAAAACAATAACTAAAACCACCTGATGATTGGAAGGAATTGCGTCTCTTTTCAAGTTACCACTCCCTCATAAAATTTCCTAAGAAATACCCAAAATTTGTTCATACGGCAATTTGCATTGAATTAATTTTTTCACTTGTTCGTACTGACAAATTTAATAAGAATTGAAACAGCAAAAATCAATTTCAAAAACCTTAGGTAAGAATTTTTAACAAACGGGAGAGGGTTGGAATTGTAAAACAAACGGAACAACAACTTTTGTTTAAAAAAATAACCTGGACAAGGAAAACCCCTCCCATAACTCCTATATTCTCTTGTATTGAGTTTTGTATTGGTAGGTTAAAATGTTTCTGTATGGATTTATATCTGTGTTTAAATTATTATTATTTTTTAAAAAGTATTTGACGAAATGGCTCAAGTAATTGATAGTCAAACGAGCCCTCTAAACCAAAATTTCAAAAATTATTATCATGAATGGAGACTTCTTCTCCTTCAACCGCTCTATCCTTTTCGTCATCTCAAAATTGATTGTCAACAATGCAATGAGTACGTTGTTTAGGAAAATTTAAGAAGTTGTATCAGAACAGAACAGACACAGAGAGATTGAGAAAAGAATGAAATAATTGATCGAAAACGGGCCTTCCGAGTATAACTGTATAATTGCTAGTTCTCTAAGCAGTGGAAATAGGCGGGACAGCCGCTTTGACTGGAACCCTCAAAAAGGCTGGATAGAAATCAGTAGATAAAGTTATAATTTGCAAGAAGCCAACTGTTGTTTAAGTGATTGTCAGGGAATCATTTTGAAATAGATCGAAACTTTTTTAGCTGCTCCACCCTGCAGTTTTTGTTCCGACCATTTGAAAAATAGGGAGGAATTTTTTTGTTTTCCACCCAAAATCAGCTATCACAAATAATCATTCGAGAAAGTTGGACATCGAAAAATTTTGAAAAACTTCTGTCAATTTTCTGAGAAAAAAAAAGTTTACAATTTTTGATTTTCCGTCTAAATTTGCGTGTGTAAAGCGAGCAAGCACTCTTATTTTTGCGTAATTTAGGCCATTC